AAATGTAGATCTTTTATAGAAAGATGCAAAGAAAAAAGAAATGGGTGTATACCCTATTGGAGACGAAAAAAAAAGATAAATGATTTTAAACCTTGTCCAAGTCGTTGGCTCTGCTAATATAACGTCTTTTAATTATATTATTATGTTTAACGTATAATGTGAGCACGATTTGTGGAACGCTGCTAATTGTCAGGAACAAAAGTAGTATCCACATTGACTTAATAGCATCCGTATAGTAAGCTTTTTGAATATTATTAACAACATTAGCTTTATTTCCCGTAGACTGGGTGTCGTCTGACCCGAACCAACCCATTGTAATTTAATTTTGCATGGGGAGGGAAAAAAATAATAGGAGAAAATACTAATATTGTAATTAAAATTTTTTTTTTTAAGTTTATAGTTTTTTTTTTGAATTCTTTTATTATTATTATTTTTTTTTTTGAAAATATTAATTTTTTAAACATATATAGTGATATTTTGGAACATTAATTTTTTTGGAACAAGTAACAGAGGGCTATTATATTCTGATACTGAGGGCTCTACAATTTTATATTTTTTATCAAATTATTATTACCGACAGCGCCGACTGCGCAACATAGAGTTAAGCCAAGAAAAGAATATAGGCCGGCAGTCTAGAGACGACGGCAAAACAATGGAGTAAAAAATAAAACCAATGATAAATTCAAATAAAACCAGTGCGTTTTTATTATAACTAAAATACTGTGAACCACTATTAATAACATAACACTGCAATCCCAAGTCGCTCGAGGAGCCCAAGCCGACTAATGGCTAATGGGAATGCGAGCAGCAGCAACATTGACATCATATATAGATTAGTATAAGATTTGATAACCTTATTGTTAGCATCCGAAAGGAGAAGATTCAATAAATAAATAGCGAAACAATTTAAAAAAAACAAGAGAGAACGCTATAGTCGAGTGCCTCGACTTTTAGATACCCGTTACTCAGCTAAACAACTTAATATGTATATGCTTACATACATACACACATACGCCATTGTTTGACTCAGACCTCCAATTTGGCTAACTTGATTTGATTTGCTTAGTTCTTGGGATATAGTTCGGTATTGACAAATGAAAACCATCGAATTTCCTTTAATATAAATCCTTATCGAGAATTAACGTTGACTCTGTTGAGCACCTTGGCCAGCTGTTCCAAAGTCATCCGTTAGATGGCGTCATGAAAGGCGGAAATGTAGGTACTAGCCAGGCTTAAGCGTTTAATGGGTTTTTGGGCGTTAGAGTGGGCGTGGCAAACTTTTATTAGGCCAATCGATAGGTATTTAAGAAACAAATACATATCAATTAAAATTTTCATAATAGCATCAAGACTGTGGCCACAGCTTGTGGCTTGTCGGCGTCAGAGGGGGCGTGGCACCATTTTGAAACAAACTTGCGCTGCGTAGGAACTCCTAAAATCTACATGCAAAATGTCAATCTTCTAGCTTTTATAGTTTCCGAGATCTCAGCGTTCATACGGACAGACAGACGGACAGACAGACGGACAGACAGACGGACAGACAGACGGACAGACAGACGGACAGACAGACGGACAGACAGACGGACAGACAGACGGACAGACAGACGGACAGACAGGACAACATGGCTAGATCGACTCGGCTAGTGATCCTGAACAAGAATATATATACTTTATAGGGTCGAAAACGCTTCCTTCTACCTGTTACATACTTTTGCACGAATACAATATACCCTTTTACTCTACGAGTAACGGGTATAACGAGGACGGAAGCTAACTTCGGCAAGCCGAAACCTTGCAGACATATAAAAATAGAAAAAAGAGATATTTTCACAGCTTTTGTCAATTATTCCTATGGAAGCTATAAGATATAGACGTGCGATAGGAAAAAGCTTTCACCCTGATCAAGGTATGCGTAAATAAATAACACTTAGAAAAACTTTTGTCAACTGCGCGAAATATCCTGAAAAACATCAAATTTTGACTGGTACGCCCTTTTACTCTGATCAAGCTATGCATAAGCAAGAAAGGAAAGCTAACTTCGGGTGGAGCCGAAGTTGATATACCCTTGCAGAATACTCTGTAAATTATATTCTCCAAAATTATTCATATGATGCATTCTTAATACTCATAAAAAATCCAAACTTCCAAACTTTAAAAACACCAAAGTTATGGCATTTCCAATCGTTCAGTTATATGGCAGATATAGGATATAGTCGGCCGATCCTTATAAAATTTGGTAGGTCGGATTGATTGGCCAACTATAAAACTCATAGAAAATCCCAACTTTATAACTTTACAAACACCAAAGTTATGGCATTTCCGATCAATCAGTTATATGGCAGCTATAGGATATAGTCGGCCGATCCAGGCCGTTCCGACTTATATACTGCGTGCAAAGGAATGAGGGGTGTGTGCAAAGTTTCAATTCGATAGCTTTAAAACTGAGAGACTAGTTTGCATAGAAACAGACAGACGGACAGACGGACATGGCTATATCAACTCAGGAGGTGATCCTGATCAAGAATATATATACTTTATAGAGTCGGAGATGTCTCCTTCACTGCGTTGCACACTTTTGACCAAAATTATAATACCCTCTGCAAGGGTATAAAAATAAGATTTGGAAAGATTCATGTCAATAGCTTATATACTGTGCGAAATATCCTGAAAAACATCGAATTTTAACCGATTTCAACCTATTGTTCCTATGGGAGCTATAGGATATAGACGTCCGATCGGCACGCTTTTACACTTATCAAGGTATGCATAAAACAAGAAAGGAAGCAAACTTCGACAAGCCGAAGTGCAGTTATTACAAATCGACTACATTTCGATGTCTATGCCTATATTACTAAAAATTGAAGCTATGCCGATTTTGCGCTGCATTTTCCCATCGATTCTATGGTAGCAATATTCTATTGTTGTACGATTTTCATTTAATTAAAACCGTAATTAAAACCATAAATGAATTTTAAAGAACAAAAAAAAAAAATAAAAAACAACAGTTATAATTTTTTTTGCTTTTTTTCCGATTGTTCCTATGGGAGCTATATGATATAGACGTCCGATCGGCACGTGCCTTTACCCTGACGATTTTTTTTATCAATTTGCTATTAGCACCAAATCTAGCAATTTATTTTATAACTGTCCGCCAGTCATGAGAGAGAGCGAGAGGCAAACAGCTGGTGTTCACTTTTTGAATACGTTTTTTTTCACCTCAAGCCTAGTATCCAGATCGACGAAAACCGTACGCCAGTCATGAGAGAGAGCGAGAGGCAAACAGCTGGCGTTCACTTTTCGTCGGGCCTTTTTTTCACGTCGGTCCCCTGATGGACGAAAAAAATACCAGAAAATTCCATAGCGTTGCCAGTCTGTGGAAATAAACTTTGGGTGAACCCTAGCGAAAAGATTAAAAAATTTAATCTTTTGGCGTGCGCTTCTCACTAAACATTATAAGAAATGGAGGGAAAAGCTCAAAAAACTCACAAAAGCCGATTGCAGGTGTTTACATGTGAGGACAAAATAACATTAATACCATCTGGGGTGCCTCTTGTCAGAGCAAAATATTTTTTAAGGTCCAGAATGTACGAAAAAAAAACAAAAAAAGTGCATCTTTGAACTTTAAATTAGCAAATAATTATCAGAAATTAAAAACAACAACTGTTAAATTTAAATTGTATTGTTTTTTAATTTCTTTGTACAGCGGCAGACTTGTCTTGCCAAGGTATTTGATAATATCTATTAAACCCTCTCCCGCAAATACGATATTTGAATTTTAACTGCTTGTCAACAAACCCAGCTGATTGACAGTACGACCGTAGCACGCATAGTTCTGATGAACTCTCGAAGTTTTGGTCACACTGGAAAGAGTAATGTTTTTACACTAGCTTACTCGTTTGTCGATCTGAGTACTAGGCTTTAAGATGCCTAAAATTTATAAACAAAATTTTCGGGATGCCTGGCAGCGCGACGACGAGTTAAAGCCGACTACTAGGCTCGACGAAAACTGTACGCCAGTCATGAGAGAGAGCAAGAGGCAAACAGCTGGCGTTCACATTTCGTCAACGTTTTTTTTCACCGCGGTTCTCAGATCGACGAAAAAATACCAGAAAATTGCATTTATTATAATAATAAAAGATTTTTATAAACATTATTTTAACAGTTTTTCATTCGTAAACAATTCTTTGCAGACCAGGAAAAACTGCTACCCGGGCCTGGACTGCAGCAGCCTAAAGCCTAGTACTCAGATCGACGAAAACTGTCCGCCAGACATAAGAGGGACCGAAAGGCAAACAGTTGGCGTTCACTTTTCGTCAACGTTTTTTTTCACCTCGATCCTCAGATCGACGAAAAAATTCCAGTAAATAGCATAGCGTTGCCAGTCTGCGGAAATGAACTTTGGGTGAACCCTAGCGAAAAGATTAAAAAATTTAATCTTTTGGCGTGCGCTTTTCACTGAATATTAAAAAAAAAAGGAGGGAAAAAGACGAAAAACCCGCAAAAGTCGATTGCAGAAATTTACATGTGAAGATAAGATAACATTAATACTATCTGGGGTGCCTCTTGTCAGGGCAAAATGTTTCTTAGTTCAAAAATGTACAAAAAAACACAATAAAAGTGCAGCTATGAACTTAAAATTAGCAAATAATTATCAGTAAATTAAAAAAAAAACAACTGTCAAGCTTAAATAGTATTGTTTTTAATTTCTTTTACAGCGGCAGACTTGTCTTGCCAAGGTAGTTGATAATATTTTTAAAAGGATCTTTCCCGCAAATAAGATATTTGAATTTTAACTGCTTGTCAACAAATCCAGCTGATTGACAGTATGACCGTAGCACGCTTAATTCTGATGAACTCTCGAAATTTTGTCACATTGGAAATATTAAATTTTTTACGCTAGTGAACTCGGTTGTCGATCAGAGTACTAGGCTTTATAAAGGTCGCTCTATACTTCAATTTCACCATTCCATTTCCTTTGCAGACTGCCGACGCTATTTTGACGCTAATTTTCGTTAGACGTAATTTAAACTATCATTGGTCGCACTAATAGTAATAATTACTTTTTTTCTGAGCTTTGGAAATTTTAAACTCTGTTTACACAAGTAAGTTGCTTATTGTTTATTTTGAGTCAATCCGTTTTTTTATAAATATAACTACTCGATATTCTTGTCAACGCTAAGAATAGAATATTATACATACATATGAACATGTGTAACTTATATGTTAATAGCAACTTTATGTCCTCTGTGTTTAATATTTGTAGACACAACAATGTTATCTCGGTTGAAGTTGCTGAGATCTGCAAATCCGCAGATTTTGCGGGCTCAGTTTCTAACGTCAACTTTTAAGTCAGTGTCAACATTAGATAAGATGACCGAAACCAAAGCAAAGGAAGCCAAATTATTCAGCCATAACAAGGTTACATTCCCAAGAGTAATACATCAACGTGAATACAAGTATACAGAAGGAAAAGTATACCATGGCTTCCGTTGCGAACGCGTGGATCACATATCGGATTTCGAGCTCACATCATATACACTCCGCCATGAGGGAACTGGCATGGAATTATGGCACATCGACCGGAGTGATGCTAACAAAGTATTTTCCATAAGTTTTCGAACTACACCTTTTGATTCTACTGGCCTTCCACATATTTTGGAGCACTTAGTATTGTGCGGTTCAAAGAGATATCCTGTCCGGGATCCCTTCTTTAAAATGCTTAACCGCTCGGTAGCGACCTTTATGAATGCAATGACTGGTCCAGATTATACAATTTATCCCTTCTCTACCATGAATGAGATAGATTATAGAAATTTGCAGCATATTTACTTGGATGCAGTATTCAGGTAATAACAAGACAAATTACTTAATTTGGAAAATTTTAATCCATTGTTTACTTAGGCCAAATCTTAAATATTTGGACTTTCTTCAAGAGGGGTGGCGGCTTGAGAACAAGGACATACATGATCGAGATACACAGATTGTGATTAAAGGAGTGGTTTATAACGAAATGAAGGGTGCATTTGCTGAAAATGCACAAGTTTTTGGACAAAATCTTCTCAATAATATTCTTCCCGACCACACGTATAAACATGTGTCTGGAGGCAATCCATTGGAAATACCCAAATTAACACATACTGATTTGGTTGACTTTCACAGAAAATATTATCATCCCAGTAACTCTCGTGTATTTTCCTACGGACTATTAGATCTATCCAAAACGCTTGCTATTCTCGATAAAGATTATTTATCGGACCAAAGATGCATCGACAGCTCATACAGTCTGATACCTCCCCAAGAACGATGGATACAACCACGTAATGTTCACATTTCCAGCAGACTAGATAATATGGGTGCGACAATAAATCGACAGAACCAAATTGCTATCGCGTTGCTGATGTGTGATGCTACTAACATACAAGAAAGTTTTGAATTACACGTTCTGTCTGAAATACTTATTCGGGGACCAAACTCTGTGTTTTACAAGAATCTAATAGAACCTAACTTTTCCGGTGGTTACAATCAAAGCACGGGATATTCATCGGACACTAAGGACACAGCTTTCGTCGTGGGATTACAGGACCTTCGTGTTGAAGACTTTACAAAATTCATTGAACTGTTTGACAAAACTATTTTTAAAGCCATGAATGATGGGTTTGAGTCGCAGCATGTTGAAAGCGTTTTGCACAATCTCGAGTTGTCACTTAAACACCAGAGTCCTTTTTTCGGAAATACTTTGTTGTTTAATTCCACTGCCTTGTGGAATTACGAAGGTGACGTAGTGAGCAACCTTCGCGTAACAGAAATGATATCAAGGCTGCGGGAAAGTTTAAGCCACAAAAAAACATATTTTCAGGACAAAATTAAACAATATTTCGTTAATAACAATCATAGGCTAACACTTACAATGTCGGCCGATGAGTTATATGAGGAAAACTTCAAACAGGCTGAGTTCGAGCTTCTAAATCAAAAAGTTAAATCCCTTGATAAGAAAAAGTTAAAAAAAATACATGAAAATGGGTTGATATTGGATGCATTTCAAAAGGCTAAGCCAAATACTGAAGTATTACCTTGTCTGTCTATTAATGATGTAAGCAAACCACCAAAACTACCGAAAATATTGATTCAAAGTATTCAAAATGTGCAGACTCAGATTTGCAAAGTTTCGACAAACGATATTACATATTTTAAGTGCTTGTTTAATATAACAGATCTAAGTCAAGAAGAAACGCTTCTTGTGCCACTGTTTTGCAGTGTTATTAGTGCCTTGGGGACGGGCAAATATAATTATCGGGAATTTGATACTCTCGTTTTTTCAAAAACAGGTGGTATCGACTTTAAGTTAAATTTGATTGAAAATGTGGAAGATGCGAAGAGTTACGGACTAAGCGTAATGATGTCCTCGCATGCTCTTGATAAAAATGTTCCGGACATGTTTGGCTTGTGTCAAGAGTTGTTTCACAATTTTAAGTTTGACGATTCGGAACGTGTTAAAATGCTTATTGAAAATTATATTTCTAATATATCTGTAGGAGTGGCAAGTTCTGGACACTTGTATGCTATGTTGGGTGCCACCGCATTAGTTAGTAATGCTGGTAAACTTAAATCTTTGTTATCAGGCGTAGATCATATAGAATTCATGAAAAATTTCGTCCAGCAGACCAACATGCTGGAAATTTGTGATAAGTTGAGATCAATTGGAACGAAGATATTTAACAAAAATAATATGCGTGGGGCCATTAACAGCACAGAATCGTACTTACCATCGGCTATTAATCATTACAGAAATTTCTTGCAGGCATTGCCTGAGTTTAAAAAAACTAATAAAATAAGTATGATCAATTTTTATAGCCCTAGCTGCCAACAATACGTGATGAATATACCAGTTAATTACTGCGCAAAAGCTTTTTTCACTGTCCCATATATGCACCAAGACCATCCATCACTGCGAGTTCTGGCGAAATTCGTATCGACCAAATATCTTCTGCCATTAGTCCGCGAGCAGAATGGGGCTTATGGAGCCGGTGCAAAAATTAGCTCTGACGGTATTTTTAGTTTTTATAGTTATCGGGACCCACATTCAACCAAAACGCTTGACGCGTTCGAAAAAACTTATGAATGGCTACGGTCGGAAAGACAGATGATTGATCCACAATCTATATTTGAGGCCAAACTTGGTGTGCTGCAGCAGTTAGACTCGCCAATAGCACCTGGAAATATTGGCGTTGACAACTTCATATATGAAGTATCGCAAGAAAATTTTGAGAAATATCGGTCGGGAATTCTGTCGGTAACTATTGATGACTTGCTGGACACAATTGAAAAATACTTCAGAAAACCGCCCAATCATTATGGAAAATGCATTCTGGGTCCAGCCAATAAACAATTGGAGTTAGAAACGAGTCAAAAATGGAAAATAATTAACTAGATCTATTATAAAACACAAATTTGTTAGAAGTTCGTTTTTATTAAAGATAAACATACTTTTTTTATTATCCTCATAAAATATTGTTCAATGAAATGTAGTAAAATTTAAAGTTGACCCTTTGCTCTTATAATAATAAAATGCTGGAGATAACATTCGTCTCAAATATGGACAGAAAAACACAACAAATACCACAGAAAACTCACCTGCAAGAATTTAGTGCATTATCAGTAAATTAAAAGAAAACATTTATTACAAAATTTTGTTTGTACACTAGCAGACTTGTTTTGTCAAGGTATGTGCTTGAAAATAACTTTTAAAATACCTTTTTAAAATACCACCTACTAATCAACAAACTGTAGAACTCTCAGTTCTAATGAACTCTCAAAAATGCTGTCACATTGGAAAAATTTAAGTTTTTCCGCTTGCGAACTTTTTTTTCGATATGTGTACTAGGGTAGGTACTACCGTAAAGATGAAAAAAAGTTTGAGAGAATTACTTTACATTTTTCACGTAGAAAAAGAAGGTCTAATTAATTTGTTGGTTTAAACTAGAATGATTTCGTTTATTCAAAAATAATAACCATTTCTTTAAAATTATAGGATAGTTTAAATGTTTAATATAAATGTTTGGAATCCGTATTTACGAAGGTATCAGAGTTTACTTCTGGTGGGATACCTGGAAGTAGTGCTTAAACTTTAGCCATTTAGTTTAAATGTTTGGAAGCCGTATTTAGGAAGGTCATCAGAGCTGGTGGGATACCTTGAAGTTGTGCTGCAAGTTTAGCCATTTAGTTGCTAGATCTTGCTTTTTTATATTTATTGTTGAACACGCCACACAAGGATGGACCATGTTTTCGTGTAATGTATGTATGACAATACATTAATGAAGATGTGTGTTTATAGAGACGACCGTGTCCTGGAACATAAATTGGTTTTTTACATAATGGTGCCACTTCACCCCCAGCATCTTCCTGAGAGCCTTTGTAATGCACGTTTGAACCCTTTTTAGTGACGAATCACAGGCCGTGCCCCAGCAAGTGATTCCCCAGTTTAAAGTTGGAAGGACAATGGCCTTAAAAAGCCGCACCTTAGCTTCAAGCGATACGCCGCTGCCTGGACGAAGGAGCCAGTCCATTTTGTCAAGTTTTGTTCTTGCTGATCCACAAACTCGATCAATTTGTCCCTTCCAACAAAGGCGGCGGTCTAAGATAACTCCGAGGTACGTCACCTTAAAGGCTACTCGAACGGCCAGGGCGCAGAGCAAATGTGGCGACTAAAACAAGTCAAATACAACTATTTGCAGTTAATTTCACAAATTACAATTTATAATGGATCACAAAGATATCACAACTGGGCATGAACAACTTGAAAGTGTTTGTTTACTCTTTTGGATAGTTTTTTGATTGAGCTTAAATGCCATACACGTAAAACGCAAATTTTCGAGATGCCTGGTTGCAAGATAAGAAGTTCAAGCAATGGATTCACAAGAAGACACTCAGCCAACAAGACCATAATGTGCGTATTGCAAAATTGCCATAGCCGCGAGTAATGTATGTACATACATATATATGTTCCCGTGGTGGTCAAAGAGTTCAATAGAAAATTCCCGTCGACTTTTTGGACCCCATAAACATTCAAAACAAGATTTTTTGTATATATTAGCCTAAAGAGACATATTTATTATCACGCTACACAAAGATGAACCTTGTGTTCTAAAGATTCCAAAAAAAGTGGGATTAATCATGTGGTGTGGTTATAGGAATCGCACGTGTCTGTCAATGCACAGAATCCATATGTCCAATTATTTAACATACATTATTTAACATCCGTAGGACTAATAATACTAATTTTCTGTAAGAAGGTGTCTGTAAATATGATGCCAAATTTTAAACGTCTGTTTTTAAGTTTAGTCCTAAGTTTGTTCATTATATATAACATTTCTATTGTAGAGCGTTTTCCGTAATATTGCTTCAAAATTTGGAGAGGACGCTGGTCTTACAGTGAGAGATAAGTGTTGTGATAAACGAGTTTTTTTTTTAGATTTATTTAGTACATTCTAAGTTTTTAAACTGAGTAGGCTCAGAAAATTTAAGTTTTTGTTCAATGTCTTGGTTTCTTTTTATACCCTTGCGGGGGGTATTATAATTTTGGTCAAAAGTGTGCAACGCAGTGACCCTATAAAGTATATATATTCTTGATCAGGATCACCTCCTGAGTTGATATAAGCATGTCCGTCTGTCCGTCTGTCTGTTTCTACGCAAACTAGTCTCTCAGTTTTAAAGATATCGAATTGAAACTTTTGCACACACCCTTCTTTCCTTTGCACGCAGTATATATGTCGGAACGGCCGGGATCGGTCGACTTATCCTATAGTTGCCATATAACAGATTGATCGGAAATGCCATAACTTTGATGTTTGTAAAGTTAGGAAGCTGGTATTTTCTATGGGTTTTATATATGGCCAATCAATCCGACCTACCAAATTTATTAAGGACCGAGAAGATTTTTTGTATTGGGTGTACAACTTAATAACCGGAATTTGACGATAGATGTCCGTACTAACAAATATCGTAAAACCTCGAACTTTATATATATGTCATTTTGAAAGTGCATTTAACAGCTGTCAAAATCAGTCAACAAAACAATTTTATCTTGTGTGTATCATTATTATTTTTCACGATGAATAAGTTCGAAAATTGGAGAAAAAGACAGCATTTGCGGGAGGTTCTGTTGGGTAATTTTTTTGAAAAGAAAACTGCTGCGGAAAGTAATTGTTTGCTTGTAGAAGTTTATGGCGACGACGCTTTAGCGAAAACACAGTGTTTTGAATGGTTTCAACGCTTCTAAAGTGCCGATTTTGATATCAATGACACAGAACGTCCAGGACAGCCAAAAAAGATTGAAAACGAAGAATTGGAGACGCTACTCGATGAGGATTCGTGTCAAACAATCACAGGTGACCTGTACCGAACACAATTAATACTTTTGAGGCGTGCCATCATCGAAATACTCCTGGAATATGCGACCAGACACGAGGCTACAATTTTTGATCATGACAACGCTCGGCCGCATGTAGCGACACCTGCGAAAAACTATTTGGAAAATAGTGGATGGGAAGTTTTGGCCCACCCGCTTTATAGCCCAGACCTTGCTCTGTCTGACTTTAATTTATTTCGCTCGATGCAAAACTCCCTCACCGGAATTCGCTTCACTTCAGAGCAAGGCATCCGAAATTGGATAGATTCTTTTTTGGTCGCCAAACCGGGGCAATTTTTTTGGGATGGAATTCATAAATTGACAGAAAGATGGGGAAATGTTGTAGCTTGCGATGGACAATACTTTGAATAAAATATATTGCAAGATTTTTTCACAATAAAGCATCAAATTTCGCTAAAAAATTCCGGTTATTAAGTTGTACACCCAATATATATTAGCCTTAAGAGACATATTTTTATCACGCTACACAAAGATGAACCTTGTGTTCTAAAGATTCCAAAAAAAGTGGGATTAATCATGTGGTGTGGTTATAGGAATCGCACGTGTCTGTCACGGCCGAGAATCCATATATCCAATTATTTAACATACATTATTTAACATCCGTAGGACTCGAAGATTAATACTAATTTTCTTTAAGAATGTGTCTGTAAATATGATGTCAAATTTTAAACGTCTGTTTTTAAGTTTAGTCCTATGCTTGCTTCAAAATTTGGAGAGGACGCTGGTCTTACAGTGAGAGATAAGTGCCGGTTTTTGTTTTGGCTTGGTGAATAATTTGAAGTCCGATTTGTGTTGTGATAATCAAGTGAGAGATAAGTGCCGGTTTTTGTTTTGGCTTGGTTGATAATTTAAAGTTCGTTTTGTGTTGTGATAAACGAGTTTTTTGTTTAGATTTATTTAGTACATTCTATGTTTTTAAGGCGTTTTGCTAGTCTTGGTACATATATTACGGATATAAACTGAGTAGGCAACTGATTGATCGGAAATGCCATTACTTTGATGTTTGTAAAGTTAGGAAGTTGGGATTTTCTATGGGTTTTATTTTTGGACAATCAATCCGACCTATCAAACTTCATTAGGATCGGCCGAGTATATCCTATAGCTGCCATATAACTGAACGGTTGGAAATGCCATAACTTTGGTGTTTTTAAAGTTAGGAAGTTGGGATTTTCTATGGGTTTTATATTTGGCCAATCAATCCGACCTACCAAATTTCATAAGGATCGGCCGACTATATCCTATAGCTGCCATATAACTGATTGATCGGAAATGCCATAACTTTGGTGTTATCCTTTCATAAGGATCGGCCGACTATATCCTATAGCTGCCATATAACTGAACGATTGGAAATGCCATAACTTTGGTGTTTTTAAAGTTAGGATGTTGGGATTTTTATGAGTATTAAGAATGCTTCATTTAAATAATTTTGGAGAATATAATGTGCAGAATATTCTGCAAGGGTATATCAACTTCGGCTCCTCCCGAAGTCAGCAATTTTTTCTTGTTCTATATAATGTACGGAATATTCTGCAAGGGTATATCAACTTCGGCTCCGCCCGAAGCTAGCTTTCCTTTCTTGTTAATAATGTTTTTATTAAATGGCTTGAAAAGTCTTTTTATACCCTTGCAGAGGGTATTATAATTTTGGTCAGAAGTTTGTAACGCAGTGAAGGAGACGTTTCCGACCCCATAAAGTATATATATTCTTGATCAGGATCAATAGGGGAGTCGATATAGCCATGTCCGTCTGTCCGTCTGTTTCAATACCGTTTGCGAGCTCAGTTTAAAAGCTAGCGATCTGAAACTTTCACAATCGTCCTAAAACATGTGTACGCAGATCAAGTTTGAAAATCGCCCCGATCGGACGTCTATATCCTATAGCTCCCATAGGAACAATTGGATATATCTTGCAAGAATTTATGATATTTCGCGCAGTGTAAAAGCTATTGACATTAATCTTTACAAATCGTATTTTTTATGCATACCTTGATCAGGGTAAAAGCGCGTGGCGATCGGACGTCTATATCCTATAGCTCCCATAGGAACAACAGGGTAAAATCGGTTAAAATTTAATGATTTTTAGGATATTTCGCGCAGTGTAAAAGCTATTGACATAAATCTTTCCAAATCTTATTTTTTATGCGTACCTTGATCAGGGTAAAAGCGCGTGACGATCGGACGTCTATATCCTATAGCTCCCATAGGAACAATAGGGTAAAATCGGTCCAAATTTGATGTTTTTTAGAATATTTCGCGATGTGTAAAAGCTATTGCTGTACATTTTTTCAAATCGTATTTTTTATGCATTCCTTCATCAAGGTAAAAGCGCGTGCTGATCGGACGTCTATATCCTATAGCTCCCATAGGAACAATACGGTGAAATCGGTCAAAATTTCATGTTTTTTAGAATATTTCGCGCAGTGTATAAGCTATTGACATACATTTTGAAAGTCTTATTTATTTACGCATATCTGGATTAGGGTAAAAGCGCTTGCCGACCGGACGTCTATTTCTTATAGCTTCCGTAGGAAAAATAGTTAAAGGCTGCGAAAGTATCCCTTTTTTCTATTTTTATATGACATTTTTGCAGTATAAAAGCAATTGACATTAAACGATGCAAATCTAGTTTATTTATGTATACCTTATTCCTTTCGCTACTTTTTCAGTTTTAGCAATTTCGGCAAAGTCTGCAAGGGTATTAAAACTTCGGCTTGCCGAAGTTAGCTTCCGTCCTCGTTTTTTTATATATCTTCTCTGTTCTTTGGTTTCTTCATGAAATATTTGTATTGTTTTGTATTTAGCCTTCTTTTACTACTGTGAATAAATCATCAACGTACTTCGCCAGTTTTGGTCTGTCCTAATTTTTTTAAACTATTTTCTAATAGCGCTTCGACTTTCTTTTAATTCTTTGTTTTTAGTTTGAAGTCTCAGTAATGTATCCTTTTGTAAAATCCTGCACATGTTCTTATCTTCCAATAAGTAACTAAAAGATCACCAATAAGGAAAAGCTATTAGCAGTTATTGCTCCAAAGATTTTGGCGGCATTATGATTTTTTTTCAGTAACAGTATTTTATAAGTTGAATGTTTTTGAAGAGTTTGTCTAATAATACAATTTTGTTTCAGAAAAATATACAGTTGCGGCAAAAATATTACTATTGAATAGATAATTCGTTTTAGTGCTATAAGAAATCGCTATCATCTATATTACAGTATTAAAAAAATATTTCTCTAAAAATCGAATACGCATTTAAGACATCTATGTATGAGGAAAACGACCATAGTGAAGCGCTCAACTTAACGGCAAATAAATTACACTAAATTACTTAAAAGAAAAATTCTGATTGGAGATCGAGCAAGGAAAAAAAAACAAAAAATTGCGAAAGTTGTGTTTAGTGTGACGACTATAAGATTTGGTTTTATTTTCCGAGTGCTGAGGTGAACTAAAGTGTGGCATTACAAACCTGGAGTTGTAACAATATCTTAAATTGTAATCAATATGAATAAAAATGTGACCGCA